AGTTAATTCCATGATATATCTATGCTTATTCATCCCACTCTTAAATACTGCTCTCCGTTCTGACTCGCGCGGTCTTAGGAAGGAGTTGCCTGGTCTGAAGAGAGCTAGTAGTTTATGTGGATCTAGAGAACGTTCATGGCCCATGTCAACCAATTAGTCTACCTATGACTAAGGATTTTCGACGATGAGTCCCCGTTTTTCGGGCAGAAATCAGTGTCTATTTCGATTCAAAGAATTTGGGGAGGAGCATATGCGAACCATAAACTCCTTATTTTTCACGTAAAAATTGAAAACAGTGACAGAAATGTGTAAAATTACAATGCCAGCTGCAATCAGGCTCAATTTTCCGTAAGTAGGCATTTAAGTGGTCCATGTGCTTATACAGTTCACTCGCTTTTGTAACGCGCGTCTGTCCAACACATCTTTGAATGTCTCCACAGACAAGAAGTCTACTCCATGGTGTTACCACAAGCTTGGGTGGGGGTTGGAAACAAGGTCTCCTTTACTTAACTACTGGCGCTAATTTCAGTAGGCGTGCTACGATTAACAAACCTGGGCTTAGGATTGGAATTGGGGGTTAGGGGTTAGGAGATCAGGACTAGGACTGGGAGTTAGTGGTTCGGGGATTAGGGTTAAAATAAAGGTTCGAGTTGGGGTAAGGATTAGACTTAGGGTTAGGGTTACGATTGGCGTTTGAGATATAGTTTGGGCTAGGGTTAGTTCATATTGACCCAACTGTGAAAAACTCGGTGCCTCGGTGGGATTCGAACCCACACAGTAAGGGGAAGGCCTTAGTACAGCCAACGCTCTAACCACCTGAGCTACAAGGCCCCGCCGGACGACTCGAGTTTAATCACATTTGAGTCAAGTTACCCAAGTTACTTAGGAAATCCTGCATGGGCAGTCAACTTACTGCATCAGATTTGGTGGATTCCAGACGTTGCAGTAAGTTGGGCGGGTAACTTGACCAAAACGTGATTAAACTCGAGTCGTCCGGCGGGGGCCTCGTAGCTCAGGTGATTAGAGCGTTGGTTGTGCTAAAGCCTTCCCCTTACTGCGTGGGTTCGAATCCCACCGACGCACCGAGTTTTTCACAGTTGTCCAATATGAATTATTCAAAATCTGCCAAAACCTCTATGAACTGGAGTTAGTTGTTGGTTGTTGTTTTTTAATTTGCTTTGAAATTAACTGCGAACTTGGAGTAGATCAGTATATTTAAGGTCAATAGGCTCAGATCAAAGTTTTCATGTACGAATATTTGGGCCGAAGTCTATCAGCGGATAACCGTGTAATATTCATTAACTGCCGGCAGGCAACTAGTAGTATGCTTTAGGGTAAGGTGATCCCATACTAACAGCACAGGTAGTAGCCGAAAGCCCAAACACGCGTGTTTTGCCGATATTCTGCCGCTGCACGACACAACTGCGAGGGGTTTGACTCGTCAGTGAGTCCCCCAGCATTCTTTGTCTGCTTTCAGGTAGATATTCCAATTTACTTGTTGATCTTCGGTTTGGGATCAGCTTAATTGCTTATGGTTACGATAAGCGACATTTTCCTCAATTCCGTTTTGCCTTTAGGAGCTAGGCTTACTTTTTAAGTTAGTATTCGGTTTGCGGTTTACGAGGGTCCTAACTGATTTTTCGTCACAGTTTTTGGTGATATGTTTTACTGCCAGTTTTTAACCCACCTCCTTCAACTTCCATCTACGGCTTCCGTCTGATTGGTCACCTACATGGGCGGCCCAGTTTCGGTGACTTTAACGTGCCACCGCATTTCCATCTCCCAGATGAGGCTTCGCCCGCAACCCCGTAGGAGGCCACAAGGTAGGTGGCCCTCAGGCAAGCTGAATACCGCTTGGTCTTCTTCGTCTACCCACCCTTGCCTTCCAGTACTCAGCAGGCTACTGACCCAGCGACTGGATGACCTGCCCCCTTCTTCTGCATTACACCTTCTCTGCGTACGTCTCCTCCACCCTTAACTCTATCTTTCTCTCTCCACTCTCTATTCTTATCCCACTGTCGGAAGTCCTGCGACTAAGACGACATGCAATCACGTAGGCGGCCCAGGCCATTGGTCGTTCCCTCACTTAACCCCGTGACCCATTGTGGAGAACGGTATCCCTCTGATGCGGCAAAGCAACCCTATTTAGGGAGAGCACTGCTTTATTCAGCGAGGGGGAGGAGGCTATAAAAGGTGCCCTAAACAAGGTTGGGTTCATGACATCTGCGCGCAGACCGTGGCTCGCAGACTGCTTAACATGTGGTCGGAACCAAAACACAAGACAAAATACTCTCTCTCTCTTCCTCCTCCTTCCCGCCACCCCAGCCTACAGGCAGCTAGTGTGGGTCTGCTCGCTCTGGTGGCCTGAAATCTTATCTCCTTTTTAGACACCCCTAGGAGCCACCGGTCGGAACGAAGGGCAGCGCTGGTTATTTGGGGGGGACTGACGCACTACAATGAGGACATCGCTGTACTCAACGAGACCCGTTCCTCCGAACAAGGCTAACCGGAGAAGGTGGGTGCCGGCTACACCCTTCTCCTGGAGCGATCGCCCAAGGCAGAGCGACGTGATGTGGGCGTCGCCTTTGCCATTCGGAATAACATCGTGGGACGAGTGTCCTGTCTGCTGCAGGACATCAACGATCGCCTAATTATCTTCCTCCTACTTCTCCGGGAAGGCATATTTGTCACCATCATCACCGTCTACGCTTCCCCGTTGACCAGCTCTGACCGTTGTGTTGACCGCAACGACGACGATGACGACCACCACCATAACGACCTCACACGCTCCACCCACCGATGGGACCGCGTCCGACATCCAACCTAAAACATCACCAACATCCCCATCGCCATCGATGTGGACTCGATTCATGTCTGTCCTCATTGCGATCGCACATTCACCTCACGCACTGACAGACCAGTGCCTTGAGCACCAACTTACACTTGCCGAATCTGCCTCAGCGGCTCCCGACACATTCAGCCACTGCGCGGGCCTTTTCGGTCCCATGCATATTCACGACAGCCACCGAACAAACGCTTCTAACTCTCTCGTATGCCCTAACAATTATTACAAGCTACGGTATTGTACCGACATTTAACTTTCAGACCATCAGCATGTATGAAAGGCATGCCATTCTAGAACACATCAGCCATATAGTTCCCGAACAAACTCAACAGAAAGTGTCGGTCAAGTTTTGTTCGGAACATCAGTCCCCCGAATGTTTTCGGACTTTTAGGTGGTTTCTTATTGGCCGAACGTGCTCAACAAGAGTAAAACAACACTGGTTAAGGAAAGGAACAGTGTGCGATTCTTCCCGGAAATTCGAAAAGACTGTGCGTTCGAAAACAAGGTTTAGCATATCGCATGGATAATATGGGGATTTATGATCACCGCCGAGATAAAACGTAATCCGTAGCTCTGTGACAAGGTTTTTTGTTCAGCCGGAGGTTGAAGAATGGATGGGAATGTTCCTGAATAAGAAATTATTCTAGTACCCTAGCCGATCCTTCAATTCACATGTTACTACGCCAATGGCATTGCGGACACATTCTAGACCTTTTCGAAAATGTTGGTCAAGTTACCACGTAGACTTTAGAACGAAACGTCCGATAGACCTGACATGTCATTATTATCGGTAATAAAGCTGTGAGAAATGGAGAACTGCAGTGGCCCAATACAAGCAAAAAGCTTTCGTCTAGTCAGCACAAAGATTCAACCACCCAGAATTTGCCTTGGCTACAATGAACGAGTCAAGGGAAAAAATCGAACGTGTGTAACAGGTATTGCCTAGGGAATATGTGGGCAGGAGGTTTTAAAAATTACTAACACGACACTGGAGCGTAGAGAACTTATCTAACATAAACTTACTGTCCAAACCGATGCAACTGCCATTATTGTTGACACCGTTAATACAGTGACTGCCTGTACATCTAGCAATATTATATCTACTCTGGCTACTATTCCTATTTACTAATTCTATGAACGCTAGCATTATCATCACTATCGCTATCATTTCTGCCGACAACAGTACTACCAAGTCACAGTCTCTATTTTATGAAACGGAACGGAGTATGCCTAGGATTAGTACCGTCATTGCTACCAACTTCTACTATGGGCCCTGATCATCCCTCGGGAGCAGTCGCCCGTTCCCCTGCCAGCACCAGCCCCGCCTGGCCCCCTCAATAATGGCGGGGCTAGATGGGGCCATGAGGGGGCTAGGCGGGGCTGTGGAGGGGCATGCAACGCGATAGCCCCGCCTGGCCCCGCCAGCGAAAAAAAATGCGCAGGGGACGCCACATCCCCGCCCACTTTTGGCACTACTTTAAAATATCGTCCCGTATGGCGAGTCCCCTGAGGCGCAGTGCCTCACTGTTCCCACATGCTACACGTCGAAACCCACCCTGCGCACGTAGAGTACTACGGTATTACATAGTACTCACAGTGACCCCGCCGTAAATGTACCCACTAATCAGCAGCCAATATCAAATACACGCGACGCCAATTCATGTGAATGAGTTATTTATTGTATAAACGAAAAAGGAATTGGGAAATATGTACAATCATAATAAATGTCAGTGCCAGTATATACATGGACTTCAACATATGTTATGCCATTCAGTTGGGCGTTCCAGAAGTCCCCGCATCGACGGCTGGTTCCTATAATTGAAAAAAAACAATTGTTTGGAAAACATATGGTCGACGGAAGGGAAGTAATACTTTAAAATTTAAATGACAATTTTCACGCTAATTAAGTTTACTGCAGCAGCATGAATATTTAACCTTAAATATGTAAATTTCATTGATTGCCATTACCGTGTCTTCAGATGGAGGCAGTGTGGGGCAACTTGTATCATAGCTAGTCCCTCCAATTGCCTCCCGGGGTTTAGCCCGGCCGCCATACCGGTCCCTCGATCCATGAAACCAATCAATGACAGTCTTGCGAACCATTTCGTGGCCTCAATCACCAAAGATAGGGTTCAAGCGAATGGCATCTGAAGTGTTAACAAATGAGGAAAACTTACCACACCGGAGTGCATATAATGGACTACCGACAAAGGATTGTTTTCCCACTGAGCCACTCCAACAGTAGTCACGGCAAAGGGGTGGTCCTAGCAATTTACTGAGGATATTCCTCACAAACTCCTTGTTGTTACGCCCGCCAACTGAAACAAGTTGTTTCATCTATAACTCATGGAGAGTAAATAAAGCTGCATATTTACATACCACTTCTTCCCGAAAATCGGCATCACGGTTTAGCTTCCCTTCGAAGTCTTCGTAGGCGTCCTTCGTGCCTAGCGGCAAGGGCAGTGCGATAGGTCTTTGAACGACAAGGACGGTGGAGGCATGTATTTGTCCAAGTTTTTCAACCATGAGGGCTCAATTTTGTCGAAATTCCTCATGATGGACCGTCTGATTATGGACTAATTTGTCTAATTTTTTACTAAACAAACCTAATCCAACGGCATACAACATGTCCTTACCGCACAGATTTCAATTCCCTTTGTACTGACTTTAATAGTTCACTCTGCGCCACAGAAGCAACCTTTTCCGTTTGCAGTCTGAAATGGACAGTAAATATAGCCTGCTTACTGAAGTGAGGGGACTACTGAAGGTGAAAACCTGCCCCATCCGGCCGAGGAAGTAGGTATGTTTTCTTCAAGTTTTGGCCTACAAACCCTCAGACTTACTGCTATTTACTGAGGATCCTCTTTAACAATTTTAATGTTCAAGTTCTTTTGTATTATTTAAAAATCAACTTACCCAGGTCTCCCTGCCGTTTGTCCGATTCATGCTGGTTGTTTAATCTGATGGTGTACCTAAACTGGCATCAAGTACATTATTGTTCTTAGTAGGAAGGAGGAGGAAGAAGAAGTTCGATCGCCTGAACCATTTCCTTATTCGTCTCTTCTGGAGTTTACATTCTCCATTACAGGCGGTACAGTCTGTAGTTTCTTAAATGTCTTTAGTAAGTCGTTCTATGCAGCTTTCATGTTTATCCTGCCTTAGTCGCAGGAGTGGACAAGACAGCTGCAAACTCAGCGCCTTTACTCAGAGCAAACGTGACATCCATGTGGCTGACTTCTCACGAGTGCGATGGCACTGAACATTCTTTTCCGCCGTCGTAAATGCAGTGGGAATAACAGGCAGTCGTACAGAAGCTAGAAAAATGAGTATTTACGACGATTATTGCTGTCAATCTCCCTAAGGTGTGGGACAATGAAGCTTTGAAGTTGTTGTCAGATGGAGGCTATTCTCGGCGCTGACAGATGTCAGAGCGCAAAGAACTCTAGGAAAGAGACGGCCTTACAGTGTAATAATCACCACACTCCCTCCGTGAGTCAACGAAGTCCCGCGTTCAGATTGGCAGGAATATGTCCTAAAGTCGCCTGGGTTAATTACTCTTCCGAATAGGCGCGCGGTGCATTTATAAGACCTTAAATATATCAAGATATCTGTGGTTAATTTTTTGCTTGGAGAGGTGCTTTGTATGAGTACTTCCAACAGTTTCTCGACTGTCTTCTCCTCTACCATTCTTTGAGTAATTCATTAACTTCATTCGTTCAAAATGTCCCAGTGATCTCATCTTCATCTTCTGAACTGCTGCCTGGGACTCACCTGTTCGCTTCTATCAGCAATATCGACATAGTAGTTGTGAGGGTAGCCGTAAAAGCGAACAGTGCTTTCCTCAACACTGACAGTACAAAGAAGGAGACAACGTCATGTTGATGGTGGTAACGAGTGACGAGGTTAGCCGCTGTCGCATGAGATGATTGCCGTCCTGGCACAAGCATGATTTTCTTAATATTGTGAGACAGTTTCACTGCATGGGACTCGCTCTACCTTCGTACTCCAATGGCATTGTCATAGCGGGAGAAAGGTCCAAAGAGCCCAGGTGGCGTAGGCTCAGCAGATTACAAAGTTTAAAATCTGCACACGCGCCTCGCCCACGAATTGTTCTCATTTGCCAGGACCAGTTCAAGGGCCGTCAGTGAGAGGTGTCATAAAGGCCGCAGGGAAAAGGGGCCGCCACCAAATTAGTCGTCATTACAAAAAAGAATGACTTAGCTCGTTAGCTAGGAGCCTTCCGAGTCATGATTTCGGGCGCATCTCGGTAGTCCTGAGAATGCCAGACTTATTATTATTATGCAGAAGGGATTTTTTCAGAATTCCTTTGCAGAGTTCTCCTTTAACTCAGCATTGACCTACCAGAGCCTGCTAGATGATTGCTAGTGTAATACAGAGCGTGCATTTGCAAATATTACACGTTGCTCTTCGTTACTAGAGTATCCAGACACTGTTTGATTGATGCTTGAAAGGCAGATGACCAGAAAGTTTCTTGCATTGGCTATGGGTGTGAGAACGGTGGGGGCTTAAATGACAGGAGCAACTTTAACGATTGTTATCTAAGAGAAAAAAGTAACTGAGTAGAGCCATGCGATAGGTGGGAGCTCATCTGCAGTCTGACCACGGATGGATTGAGCAAAGGTTATTGGGGATGGGGTGGTCTAATATATGACCGTTCAGTTCTGCAGCGTTGGATTTCTACGTGAAAGGCAAGGTCGGCGTTTTACTGAAATATGCAACTGTAATGTACAACAACTGACACTATGCGTAATTGTTGCTGCTGGTGGTGGTTGGGCGCTGTTTTGCCTTCTCACGACGTTCCTGTTGCGGTGTAGTATGTGTTATATCAGCAGCAGCAATGCAAATCAGTCCTTCGACAGACCTTTTTAGTCGCCCTATCCCCCCGTGCCGACTAAGCTCGAAACAGCCCTGCCCTTCGTAAACAAGCTTAATCCCACGAAACGACAATTCAGAACCATTTGGCTCGACCATGACGAAGTACATAAAATCTGTCTCGCTGGGGTGTCCAAGCCAGCAAATCTGAAGATCTTGCGGGGCGCCGCCGTGGAGCCTGGTCCAGTGGGTCAGGCGAGAAAACGCGTGGAATGGCCACAACGCATGAGTGCCTTACAGGCTATTCTTCTGGAACGAAAGCGAGACGACATGGCTTCTAGGATCAGCTGCTTCAAGGCGGAGAGCGGCGCCGAGGAGATCCAGCTGGAGGCTCACCGCAAGCAAATTCGTAAGCATTTTTCTCACTTGTCGTCAAGGGCATAGTGCGAAGTCATCTGAACAGTAGGACTGGGCTGCCCCATCGGAATTCTCACTATACACACATTTATAGTTCATTATTTTTTGAATAAACACATGTAGTTTTCGGTATCCTCATAGTGTCTTAGCACCGCACTTGGACGAAATGCCGATTCAAATTTTCATTCTGCTGACGATGCGCGCAGACGTACCTTTCTGAGATACCCGTGCCAAACTTTTCTGGTCATACTTAACTCGGTCGAAACTTGGGGTTTCGTCATTAACAACAAGCCGATGACTTACATTTAAAGTCATCCCTCATACCGTCTCCATATTTATATTGAAGCTGGTAAGAACGTCCACCACGTTGATCTGCTTGTCCGATATGAAGAAAAAATTCACTAAGCCGATTGTTACAGCCAGCTGGGTGCAAGACCAGAAGTCTTACCTTGAATACTTATACTCTATGCGTTTAAAAATCCTACAAGACCATTGGTATTCTTCACTTTCTCTGTCCATCACCACGATTTTCTGTCAGTCTAAGTAACTGCGCGACAGGATCTGGCAGTGAGATCACTTTTTCATGCCTTTGTTGCAGAACATGAAACTGCCCCTTGCGGCATCACTAGGGTTTTGCAAGCCTTATGGAAACGGGCCATCCAGAATTAAGTGGTCATCCGATAAGCCGTGCTCGACCGGACAGCGACTACGTGGAGCGGCTTAAAGTAGGGGTGGTCTTCTGTAGTTCATGGGTTTGAAGGTGGATGTCTTCATCCACCCTCCGGCCCACGGGCGTGACCCTCCAGAACTGTGCCAGATGGCGACGAATGAAGACGGCGGTCTCGACGGAACGCAAAATAATTATTCGGTGCTCCAACTGAGATTACTTTGACTTGGCTACCACACAGCAGTAACTCTCTCTCTGATATTGACACTGGAACCGTACGTGCAGAAATACTTAATGCATTTCTGGGATATTTTTCCCGGTGTCGAAATTCGTCAGGAAATGAGTCCAACAAAGCACAGTTTAAGTGACTGCGCAGCCGGCTGGCGGCCAACTACAGCCTAGAAAAACAGATGCTTAAAATCCTTCAAAATCCCAAGTCATTCAAGTCCTTCAAGACCTACAAACGACTGAGTCGTTTTTGGATAAACTTCATACAATTTGTCAAATTTTAAATGTTTCTTTTCATCCACTGAGTTGTAACTGCTCATTATACCTCGTCATATAGAATTCGAAGTGTTCGCTAAGTCCTCGAGAGCGAACGTATACCTGTTCTCCTAGTCAAATCTTTATGGAATCTTAACAGTTTAACGGCAATATCAGGATCAGCGCTGACATCGCCCTAGAAAATAAATTTGGTGGGATGACCTCAGCATCCAAAATACGCGCCCGTTTTGTTTTACTCTTCCAACCAAGGACCAACAAAGCGCGCGAAAGGAGTATTCATCACGGAAAGTGCAGGGTGCGAAGATGGACCTTGTGTTGGATGCGCACTTGACCTGATCAAGGTAAAACACCTTGAAAACAAGCCTGCGAACTTAATAGTGCATATGCAGCAGACCGTTTATGACGAAAAGGAGGTTGCCAGTGTTAGAGTCAAAAAACGAAGCGCAGAACAGAAAAGAAGCGAAAATATCGTTTCAGGAACGGCTTGTGACGCGGATAGCGACTCAGTAAGTGCACACGCAGCTGTCGGTAAGAGCAGAATGACGGTTGCGAATCCAATGATAAAAGCGGACCCTATTTCTACGCAAGGCGGCCTAAGTGATGACACAAAAATATTGCAATTCGTTGGAGCCACCTCACCTGCTCCTCTTGCTGGAAGTTATATCTTGCCGAAGGATGATATAACTAAGTTGCCCAATCTACCGTTTCTCTCTTGTCCTCACAACCACCTTGAATGCTCTATCGAGCACATATTAGAAAGCGGAAACCGGAACTCGTTGGTAGGGGAGATGGGAAAACGTCATAACGGAAACTTGAACTCACAACCAGCCCTAATGGACTCCTTTGAACAGGTAGTCGACAGCAAAAATTTGAACTCAAATGAGGACTCCGTAAATCGTCCTCGTCGTAATACGTAGAATTCCGCGGAAAGGCAAAATAAAGAGTACCAGGACTGCCAACAGTGTCTGGTTGTTCAGAGCTTGTCTGAATCGAATGATGTCCGAACCGGATTCTCTCTGATGTTCCTTCGTTTTCTGAGCTCCTCTTCGGTCATTCTTTCCCCGCACAAGGGATTGTTTCTCGGTCACGATTACTTCCGTAGACG